AGGGAGGCTTTAGTACATACTTCTAACTGTCTGGTCATAATTGGAGACCAGTGGTTTATGTATCCCAGACACTTGTGAAGACTAAATATTGGCTTGTTCAGATGGTGAAATAGACTTTAGTCTTGGTCCAGAAGTATTAAAAGTTTTAGGTCTTTCTTTATGGAAGCTCATTATTAGCTGAAGCTGGCCATAAAGGATTATGTTTGTTATTGAAAGAGGCTGGTAAACATCTTGTCATGAGATTAAAGAGCACTGTTTTCAACCACATTGTCTAGATCATTTGACAAAAAATGCAGAGCAGAAGACTTCAGCCTAGCTTATGTACATGTCAGTCTTATAAAATAAACAAAATCAAAATAAAGGAGCTTTCTAGTTGCAGGCAGAATTCTGAATTGCAGTTACCAGATCTATGCTTGAGGAGGAGATTCAGTAGGGACAGAAGTATGAACAGTGGCTGGTGCATCATGTTCTTGGATACTCACAACTCCCCAAGGGGAAGGTGTGAGTTCTCGAGATCTTTTGTCTTTAGGTACAGAATGGTGTTCCATATGCTTTTTACAGGAAAACAGGTTTAAAAGCATAAATGCCAGTCATTTAAGGATCAAAAAATCAAGAAGAATGTTGCATACTGATGCAAATTAATAGTAATAGGAAAGGTCTTGCTGAGAGTTGTGTGTACCAGAAATGCTGTGAAAGATTCTGTATATTTCCTGGAGAACTTACAAAAAGATTTAGTTTGCTTGCTTTCCTTGTTTTTGTTGGGGAAAAACAGAACAAAACAAAACCAAGTAAACAAAAAACGAGAACTGAACCATACTGAAGCATTCTTCCAAGGACATTATTCTTGTTTTTTGCCTCAGGTGGACTTCCTAGGCTTTCCATGAAAATACTACAGCTAAGCAGGTGATCATGAACACCAAACTTGATCCTTCTGCAGGTAACACACCTGAAACAGTTCTGTCTTATAGCAGATGCAGTTTATTTGGCATAAATTTAAGCTGTTTGGTTTTCAGTATTTGCTAGATTCTCCTATTCCTTATGTAATAGGATGATTAATACATTTTCAAAGCAATAAAGTGGTATTAGTCCATGTTTAGTGTTGTTATATTTCAGAATGGATCCAGTAGTGCCTGGCTTTCCACTGATAACTTTTTTCCTAAAAGAAATTACGGGTAGGAGCCAGTACCAGAGTAAGCACAGACATGCAAGATAGTAAGATCTGCAAGATACAGAGTTGGATAAAGTGAAATATAAACTTCCAGTTATGTGGCTCACCTGGTAGGGAACTCTGAGACCATCTGCTACAACATCACAAGGGCTCTTGCTTATGGTTCTTGGGAAGCAATGATAGCAGCAGCAGTATTGTCATCTCAAAGGAATGCATGCTACAGGCACATGGGTGACATCCCCATACAGGAGGTAAGGAAGGGATGATGTATTGGCCCTTTTTTCTATGGATATCTCACACAGGTGATGTGTGCCTCAACTGTACCATGTTGAGGCAACTAAGCCCCAAGAGACAGCAGCGCAGCAGGAACTGTTGACTTTCTCCTCCCTAGAACAGTAGTGTAAGCTGCAGATCAGCACACCATCTCAGAGACTCTACGTTCCCAGTATGTTTTAGTTAGCACTAGTGATGTTTCTACCATTACATATTATGTTAATTTTTCCTGTTAATTCTTGCTTGTGTTGTGTTTGGCTCAGGAAAGAAAATGTGTGTGGGACTGTGCTTTTGATTTCTGGTCTGAGCCATCTGGAACAGGTTAGTATAGCACTGATGTTATGAGATAGCACTTGTAATTCAGACAGTAACTGAAGCAGGCCTCAGCTAATACTGTTATGTAGTCCATCTTTGAAAAAGGAGAGGGAATCCTCTGCAAACACCAACAGTTTGAAATTCAGATTCTTTCCCAGGAGGTGGAAGAAACAAGCCCTACTCTTTTTCAAGCAGAATTAGGGTTTGAGACCAAGTTTCCCATGTGCTTAGTGCTATTCATGTCGTGGTAGGGTGAGACGTGTGTTTCAAATTGCTGCGTATCTTGTGTTATGTGCATGTGACAATACAAAAGCTTGCTAATCTGTCAGTCTCTAGGATCATTTAGACCAATTTCCACAAGCAAAAGCCAGCTTTCTCATGGAGCTTAGGTACTATCAAAATGCAATCATTCCAGTAAATACCCAGCAGTTTTGCTCTTAAGTGCTTTACCAGTTTTGCTAGTAGAAAATCTGGTTCTGTAAGGTGTGATAGGAGCAGAATGGATGTTTTAAGCATCTAAAGCTTGGACGTATATGGCCTATAAGTGTCAGTTATTGCCAAATTCCTTTAATGAATTCAAGTCTGTATGGCTGTGTAAAAGATGCCTAAGAATTGTCACTCGAAAAAACTTAGGGCTTGTACCCCTACTGCCATACAGAGCTGTGTGATTTCACTCTGCTCCCACAGTTTGACAGTGTCCTTGAGAATGTTCAGAAAGGGTGAACTTTAAAAAATGACAGGAACATCTAAGAAGGTGTTTGACAATGTAGCTCTGGAGAAGTATAATATCAGAATTTAAAAAACCATAGATGAAGTGTTGTGAAAGTTAGTATATGAGGACTTGGCTTTGTGTTGGGGTTGCTTTGTTCGGGAGTCCTGAGTGTAATTAACTCTTACTGAGTCCCCTGACCTATATACAGCTTTTGTCTTAGCATCTAGAAGCCATTGGATTGTGTTCTCCAGTGCTGAGGGTCTCTTTTAACACAGCACTGTGCATTATCTGCAGGAGCTTAGTGCAATTCGTACACTCAGTTGTATCATCCAGGGAGGCTAGAGTTAAGGTTCCATGACATAGTTTATGTGCCCCTTCTGATTATGTATTACACAATTTTTGAAATCCAAGTCTTAAACATAATTAAAGGCATAGTTTCAACCCTAGCTATACACAGAGCAAATGGTTAAGAACATAGTCACTTTTACCCCTTTTATACAGGGGACTGTTGTGCACCTCCTCATGAAGACAAAGAAAATGTCAAGGTAATCTAAATGTAGTAATATATTTTGTAACATGGGGGGGGGATATTTGAGACCACTGAAGCGAGAGTGCTGCTAGATGTGAAGTTTATCCACCATTTTAAGCATAAATGTCAGAACACAGTGCTGAAAGATATACTGAATTGTCCATGTTTATATAGGGTGAACAAAAGGGGGTTTATGTACCACAGATTTCTTCCTTTATGCAGCTCTTGCTGTCAAGGAGAGTTGTGAGAAGGGTGTGGCTGTACCTCATTATTTGGTGGCTGATGGTAGTTGCAGAAAGGTGCTGCAGAAATTGGACTTAGCCGTAACATCAAATCTTTTTATTTAGGAACAAATTCAGTCACCACACTGTAAACTAGCCCAAGCTGTGGTTTGGTGCACTTCTTGTACTCTGTCTTTTTATTCACCCCAGCTGTCAGATGGAGACAGGAAAAATCAAAACATTTGTATAGTTTTCTTTCTTAAGGGAGCCCCTTAGGTGGTCAGGTCTGGATTCAGCTCCTGATTCCAGCGCTGCAACATCTCTGCCAGTTGGCTGATGAATCAGAAATCTTTAGTCTGAGGCAATTCTTTGGGAGCAAACTGGTACTGAATTCTTGCAGTGTTTCTGGCATGTGTACAATCATTTTTCTGTGCAATGGTGAGAAAAGTTCAATGGATCAACAAGTGAAATATCAACAAGTATGCAGCAAGCTCTTCACCTACACAAATGGGTGCTCAGAGCATGTGTTTTGCTGTAGAGCTGTTTCCTATAGTTTCAGTTGATCTTCACACACCTAATATAGAGCAAACCCTGCTACTTTTCAGCTTATTAGCTCTCCAGATCACTGGGTGTATTGAGAAACACTGGAGTTATGAAGTAATGAGAACACTCTCTGTTAGCCTTTTGCCACAATGAAAATTTGCTATGTATTTCTTGTCTGCTTTCTGACCCATGCAAAACTTTCCTCTCACAACATGCCCAGTGACCTTCTTCAGAAGTCCCTTGTGTGAGTTTTTGTTAACCTCTGGGGAAGTCTATTTAAAATTGATTTTTATTCATCTGCAAATGTATCGGTTCTCTTTGAATAATTCTAGGAGGGTGTTTGATTTTCCGTGCAATACAGGTGATGCAAGGACATTGAGAGACAAACTGTCAGAAACGGCACTGAGTGTCTGATGCTGTCATTTTGGACAGCTGCAGGCAGTTAACGAGGTACAGAGCTGTTGCGCTTCCCATTAGCGTCGATATGACTCAGCAACCCTGGAGCAGCTCAGTCTTTGTGTCTTAACGTGGGTATCCATGCTTAGAGGCCAGTTTTATGAAGTTCTGTTGTAACAACTCTGTTTCTGAATCTGCTATAGGGAGAGATGACAGATTTTTATCTTATTGGGCATCTCACGTTCGTTAGAATTAAAGGATTTCCTCAAATGGAAAACTCAACAGAATTTTGAAGTAGTCATTTAACGTCTGTCTCTGTATTCAGTTTCAGTGTTCATCTTTGTATCTAGCATAGACCTGCAGCATCTGATTGCTTACCTCTCACATGTCATAAATGTTCTGCTTGACATGTTAAAGGTCTGCTTGCGGCAACACTGCAAAACACCTGAAAAAGTACTTTACTTCCTTCCTCTGCAGTTTTAACTGGAGATCTGCAAGATTTGTCTTTCCTGAGAAATGCTTCATTTTACAAGCTGCTCCCTTAAGCATGGGGTCAGTGTTTGCAGACAAACCATTTATTATCCTTTGAACTTTTAATTTGTTTATTCCTGTTTTCAGATAATCCCCGAGCAATATAGTTCCTGTAGCTGCAAGCGTCATGAATTCAAGTTATTCACCTCCCAGAGGGTCAGACCTTTCATCAGTATGCCATTGGCACGAAGCAGTGAGTGTTGCATATTCATTGTCCGAGACACCAGCTAGAGGGCCTCCAAAAAGCCTGACTTTTTTTTTTTGTTCTCAAAGCAAGGAAAACAATCCCTTCCCTTCTCCAGTCCCTTGATAAGGGTTTCTGTCCAATAACGGTGCTCTCTGCTCTGAGGCACATTTAACTGTGAAGTTTGCAGCGGGAGAGGCTTTCCTTCAAGCTGTTAGTGTTTTATCCTGGCAGGCTCCTCGAGGTTGTTGTGAGGAGTCTAGCCAGTTGGTGAGCTTTGTAATCTAAACCAGCTGTCCCAGGCTGAGGCCCCCATTTGCATTGTTTAACATACTTAGAAAATGAAGTGTTCATTTTTAACATTCCTCCTCCAATTGGTTTAATGCTGAATTACAGAAGAGAACTAAGCAAAACCAGGTGCTTTCTCTGTATTCTCTCCAGTGTCTGAGGAGGTACAGACGGCTCCCGATCTTCTCCATTACTTGCTATTTCATTCTTTGGACTATAAATGACTGACGAACTGAAGTGCTAGCAGAGGGTAATGTTTGGAAAAACTTTTTAGTTATTCATCAGCACAGACTCTGGTTTTTTTCCACCTTTCCTTAACGGTTTTGGACATGCAAGGATTAAAAAGGTAAGTGGTATGCATGCAACTTCTTCACTTACTGAAGGGAAACCTACTTGTGGAAAATAGCTGTGGCAGGCATTCGGTATGCCAATCCACTTGCTAAAGCCATTTGCAAAGAGACGGGATCTCAGTGGTCAGAGGTGGTGAAAGACAATCTGTCTGTTATTAAATCTGTGCTGTCTCTGACAAGTTTCTTCTTAATCCGTGCTTATACCCTGCGCTTTAGGAACCCCGGCATCCGCGGGAGTGCTGAATTGCGGCAGCAAATGATCCCACTGGCTGCAGTGATTGATTTGAAGCTAATTAGTTACTATTGCAGAACTTAATCACTAGTTTAAAATATTTTGCCTGCTGGGCAAGCTACAGTGACCAGCTGCATGTGGTGTTGATAGGTTGTGCTGTGCATGTCTTAATAATTCTTAAGGGGTTTTGAGATCTAAAGTAATGAGCAAATTGAGATGATGGTTGGAGGCAGAAAACATAAGAGGTGGTAAGGTCACCCCCCACCAAGAGAAAAGAATATATTATCTTGTAACAGTGGGAACTAAGACTGTCTAGAAATGTATGCGTTTTGTCTGACCAGTTTTATAGGGGATTTTGTTGGTGTGCAGTGCTCTGTAATAATGTAGAGTGTAGTCCAGTTGCTAGGTGTTAACGTTCAGCTAAAACCTGTTTTATTTCTTTTAGTGCTGTTCTTGTATATGCAAAGTGAGTACACAGTCTTTGTAATGGTGCATGCTTTAAAATCTCTAAAAAAGATTTGAGGAATCAGTAAATGAAGTGCAATCCTAATGGGTAACGTTGTACTTTGAATGCTTTCCATCTGACTCCAAGGAGAAGTCTGTGCAGAATTTGCCTTTTCTTGTCACTCAAAAGCTGCCAGCAAGCACAATCTGTCTTCGTAGCACTACGGACAACCATTTTAGGGTTTATGTTTACTTTTCAGAGCTTCTGCCTGTCTCCTCATTTAAAACAAATTTGTTCAAATGTGTTGGTCACTGCTTGTGTGTGGTTTTGTCTGATGCATTTATAGGTCTTGTTCAAGAGCTCAGTTTGCACTGGAAATCAAAGACAACTCTAAGAGAGAAAGTTGGCAGCTTGCTTGGGTAGCAGAGCTAAGGCTACCTAAAATATCCCTTGCTTCCTGTGCTGGTTTTGTGGGAACATATTGTATACAATTGCCATTCAGAACTAGAATCCAAGATAAGCAAGATGTGGGTCTAATTGTATTGAGAAGAAGTTTTGTATGAGGCACTGGCAAAACACTGAAATCTGTAGTACATAGAAAAAATGATTTCTTATTATCCTTTCATGGGTTTCAGTCTCCTGGTAAATACTTGGGGGTGAGAGCTTAGTTGTCCAGAATTTTTATGCTCTAGGTAAGGAGTTCCAAAAATAGCCTCAGAGCTCTGTTAAAAAGGGATCCTCTTCTTTCAGTTGCAGTGAAGGAACACAGTAGGTCCCACTAGATGCTAAGATGATATAACTGTGGAAGGCTTCACTGAAGATAGCAACTTCTAGTAGCTGATGACCTGGCCCAGTCTGTCTGCTTACAGAGCAATGTATTGCTCAAGATTGAGTAAAGGGACAGAATCTGGCCCTAAGAAAATGGATTAATCTCAGATACAGTCTCCTGGGGATGAAATGCGGTTTAGCGGTTAGAGCAACTGGCTTGGATTCAGGACCTCCTGCATGACATGTCTGCAGTCTTGCCAATGCGTTGCAACTGTGAGCTTAGGCAGGGCCTGTGCTCTGGTTTACCCATCTGTACAATGTGCATGATGTGCAAGAAAAGCTTTTATATTCTCAAAAGAAAGGTGTCAAAGATGGGCAAAAACGCTCACTGAATATTGCACAGTTGTTCGTTAAACAGTTACTGCATGGGGTGCCATAAAAGTATAGGTTAGTTAATAGGCAGGTACAATCTGATTTTAATCCTAGTTGCACAAAACCATAGTATATTAGTAACTCTGAGATCTGAGTGTGGCCCACAGTTGTATTACTCCTCTCTTGAGGCCAAATTTATGTTAGCAAAATGCTGTTGAATATACTGAAATGTCACTAGAAATTAATTTGCTCGTGTGTATTTGATTCTATATAATGAGCCTGGATATTAGAAGGTTTTCAGCCTATTTTCTATGCACATTACAGGATACTGACTGCTTTCACACTGGCCATCTGCCTTTCAAGACCTGGAAAAGCACAGGTGAGAGGTATACACAGAGATCTATCTACTGTTTTGTGCTGAAGTGCTGTATGGCATGAGACTTAACTGGCTAGCAGGTGAATAGGAAGCTTTGTGGTCTGGGGTTTCCATGAAAAGGAAGCTGTGTGGTCTAAGGGTTTAGAGGGGAGAACTTGGAGCCAGCGATAATCTGGAGTTGAACATGGACTGAGCTTATTGACTCAACATTGCCAGCTCAGCAAGATATTCCTGTAGAAACCTGGAACTCACTGAAAACCTGATTCTGCCTGTTACCTGAATGCTTCTGCAAAAGGAAATGAGAGAAGCCATGCCATGAGACCAGGGGCAGCTCAGTTCTGTGGTGGGAACATCCACTCTTGGAAAACTTACTCATGTAAATAGGTATTTTCTGTCTATAGCAGGATATTGTTTTAAGATTGTTTACTTTTGGACTGTGATCCTGAATGACTGTATCCTAGTTTTCATTTTAATTTATGCCGGATACCATTTTTGTTCAAGAGGCAGGGCTTTTGAGGGTGGATGGAAGTAAAGCAGTCCAGTTCCTGAAATTGCAGAAGCATTAGTTCTTTGTGTTCTTGGGTTCCATGTGCACTTTAAATCAGGAAAAACAGTTCCCAAAGGCATGTTAAGTTTGGATTCCTAGTTGATAATCCAGATATACTCAGTGTCAAGAGCTGTGTCTCTAAATACCTTTGCCAAATTCTCTGAAATGTAGCTGGTTTGGGGTTTTTTTTCTATTACATTGAAAATTTCCTGCACATGGCATGCTTATGGATACTTTTGTGAACATGTCTGTATGGGAAATGATTTTCATGCCCCTGGGGAATTTTTGAGATGTCTTTAAGGGTTTGTTTTTATAATTTGAAAAACGTTGTTTCCATTGTGATTTTTATAAAAACATCCTCTACCATAAATTGATTCTTGAAGTCTAAGCAGAAAGCAACTTGAAACCAAAATTGTATCAGTGACTTCTTTCTGAAGATACTGAAACTGGTCATTTGGACAGTATTGGATTCTTTTCTAGAATAAAGTTCTAGGAAGTTGTTGAAACCAGTTCTACAGCAGTTTCAGTGCTTCTGAATCATCACTTACTGTCCAAAAGAAAATAGTTGTGTTAAGAAGTATCTTAACTTTTCCTGCTAACCTACGTGTAGTGTATGCGCCACAGCACAGAAAAGAGAAAAGGTAGATTACGTACAGTCTTTAAAACGCGAGGCTGATTATACATTCTCCCATCAGAATATCTTGGCTTTCCACAACATGATGCCAAAACATTTCAGAATGCCAAAATAAATGAGGACTGAATTCCTTCATACTTGTTTGACACTTCTAACAGTGGGTTTGTGTATTCATATGTGCAAGTGGCAGGTGCACTCCGAGCAGTACCATGTGTTTCGCTTCATGTTCCCTCCCTAGTTCCTGCAATGGCCTGCTTCCACTGACTTATCCCTCTAACCCCTTGTCTCCCACCTACAACTTCACCAAACATGAACCAGCTACTTTACTCTTCCACTGATTTCTTCCACAAAGTCTAAAACTAAGTGGTTTTATCATTTAGCAACTACAAAAAAGGAAGAATCTTGAACACACTCCATCCCCTGGTCACTCCAGTGGTTCCTGGGTTTTGGATATCTCGTGCTTACATTCCTTAGTATAACCTATTAGCTGTCAGGTTCCTGTGCTTGTGGCAGCTGCTTGGCTGATTGCTGTGTACCTGGAGACACAGTCAAAACCTAGGGAGAGCAAGGAATCCTTTTAATGGGCTTTGATACAGTCTTCAGTAGGACCGATGGGCTTAGAAATGCTGATGGCCATTGATGAGGTGCTGAATACTCAAGGTTTCAGCCCTGATAAAGACCAGCACCACAGGATAGGAAGGAGCAAAGCTTCCAGTAATGTTGCATGCCTAGAACATGTGGCATCTAAAGATTTATCCTCTCAAAATCAAAAGGCTTGGTGTAAGTGAAAAGCCTTAGTTTTATTTTATTATTTTGTTATAACTGTTAAGGGGCTGGCATATGTTCTGAGACCTCAGGTTCATGCCTTGCTGGTTGTCCTTTGGGGCAGGGACTTCATTTTGGTGTACTGTAAAGTGCTGGACAATTGTGCTAAACATAATAATCCAGTTGAGCATTTGATTCTGCAACTCTCATTTTACAGTCACTGACTGTCCTTTGTTTTCTTATTTTAGCAACAATGCACTAATGGGTTTGACCTGGACCGTGCCTCTGGGCAATGCTTAGGTAGGACTTTAATTAAATCCATACATTTAAACGGAGTTCAGAAAGCCTGAATTGACTGAGTTTACATTGTGCTGCTGCTAGATATTTTAGTTGAAAGTTCTTGCTGTTTGACAAATATGTGTGTTTGTGTATCTGTATATATAAATATATACGTTTATATAAAAATATGTACGTGTTTACATAGCACAAGTATATAGCAACATTGTTGAGATACTAATCGGCTGTCAGTGATTCTCAAATAACAGTGCTGCATTTTGATGAGAGCTCACTCTAGTTGCCCAGTGACAAGGGTCATTCACTCTCCTCTTTCTCCTCCAAAGTCAGTATTTAGTGGCTTTGTTTGGAAGCCTCCACTTGGTGGCTCAGGGAGTCTACTACTTGTCAGCATTGAAACTCCAAGTAAATTGTTGAGGCAATATAGGGAAACACGCAGTTTGACCTATAGCATCTTTTTATCAATGGCATTCAGTTTCCAGGGCAGCATCTTCTGCATGCATTAAAGTCACTCAAGCAATAAGGAAAAAAACAGAAAAAGACTGCTTGCCCTGCCATAGCACACTACTGCTTCTGTGCCCCAAGAACCAGGCAAATGCTCAGCTTGACTAAACCATTTCTATCTTTCTAAATTTAATTCAGGGATGATCTCAATCATAGCAAGAAGGAGGTCTGAACCATCCGGCCAGATCTGAACATCCCTAACTTCTTCTGTGGGAGGGATCTCAGGAGTTCCAAATCAGAATCCAAGTTTCACAGCTGGGCAAACCAAACCACCAGTGTTTGAAATCCTGATCTGCATGTTGTGGTTTGGACAGACCCTTTAGCAGGAGCAGGCGGTAGCACGCTGTAGTCATGTGTAAATCAGTGCTTAAACTGAACATATACAGAATAACAAAGCAGACTTTCCTCTCCTCCCCTCTACTAGTGAAGTAAAGCAAGAAGAATATAGGATATGTTGAATATATGGGATGTTTCCTGGTTTAGTATGATCTGACTTCAAAGTGAGGCTCCACAAGGAAGGATTAGGTTTTCCATTCAAAGAGAGTATCAAATTTTTTAGCAGAGTCTTAAGAAAAATGTTAACTATTTTTTGATAGGTCCTATGAAGAAGCAATCACTCATTTCACTTTCCAATTTCAATCCAGATATTGATGAATGTCGAACTATTCCTGAGGCCTGCAGAGGAGATATGGTGTGTGTCAACCAGAATGGTGGCTATTTATGTGTACCCCGAACAAACCCAGTGTATCGATCACCGTATCTGAACCCTTATTCAAATATTTATCCACCGCCCCCAGCACCAGGCCCTGTTCCTAACTACCCTACTGTTACAAGACCTCTGATCTGTCGATTTGGTTACCAGTTGGATGAAAACAATCAGTGTGCTGGTAAGTAGTGGAAACATTTGTTCTATACTTTTACTTCTATTAAAGCTTGTCTGACATTGCAGAAACAATTGTCCTTTAGTAATTGAATCACTCAAGCCCAGTGTTTTGAAGTTCAGCTACAGTTTTTTAAAGGATGTGAGCTGTATATTTCATATAGTCATTACTTGATGCAAGCCAAGATAAGATTTTATTATTTAATCAGTCTTATTATTTAATCAGGAAACCCACTTTCATGAGAGAAGTAATGTTTTTATGAGATAAACAACCAATTGATGGGAGGGGATTTGTCAGTGCATCAAAGGCATGCCTTTTATTCTTACGATTCTGTCCTTGAGAGAGAAGGTGGCTGTCCATTTAAAGTGTTAGATGGGGACTGAGAAAACCTTGATTAAGTTGTTGGCCATATTTAATAGCTCATATGTCTGGACCTCAGTCTTCCTCCTTTAAATGCTATAAATAAGAGTGGTTTCCTCTTATGCTTTGCATTCTTTGCTGAGACTATAAGCCCCTTGGAGCACATATGTTTCATATCTAGAGGGTGGTACACAACTGTTAGCACTACCATTGCCTTAATGACTATAGACTTCAGCTGAGACTGGAACTCCCTGTTGGAGGCACTGCATCAAGCAACACAAGGGGAAAGGATCACTGCCCCAGCAGAGCACTGACTTTGTCTTAGCACATTCATGTTCCCCATTCTCGAATAAAAAAACCAAATAAGCCTATGAAAATTTCTTGTGTTGGTAGTTTTTCTACTTTTGCATCTTTTGCTGGATTCTGATTCCACTTACTGCAGTTTATACTGTGTTTCACTTAAATATAAGCTGCTTCTGTGTTACTCAGATTTAAGGAAGATTTAGATTATATCCCTTTGGTTTGCTTCATTTGATAATGTCATGATATGAAGGGGCAGACAGAAATTTTCTTAACCAAACAAAATAAATTCCACTGGCCAAAATATTTGTTTTGATGCCAAATCTGAAATCAAGAGCTCAGGATCAGTGATCACTGGTGGCTGCTCAGGGTAAGCGCTAGAGATACAGCCCACAGGTCTACCACAAAGTGAATCTATAACCACGTCTCAGTTGTCCTAATGGTAAAGGTTTTTTATCTGTTATCTCATGTAGCTAATTGTCTGAAGGCTTTTATCAAAATCTTTTTTGAAACAGGACTGGTCCTTGACAATAAAAATAGCCCAAAACACAGAAGATACGAACTTCCAATAGAGAATGTTGACCGTCTTTAGACTAAGAACTGCGTTTAACTCAGAACACTTCTTTATTGAATGCTGCTGCAGAACAATACAAGAGCTAAAACTGACTTGTCTTTTGGGCTGATTCTGCCCTATTGTTTGAAATTTCTGGCAGGATGCGGTTTCAGATGATGTACTTTGTTTGCTTTCTAGTGAGGAGACCATGATTCTTCATGGGAGCTGTAAGAGTCTAGATTTAAATTCACAGACTTCAGGGCATTTTTCTATATTTGAATCATTGTCTTCATTACATTTCAAGGTGGGAAAAAAGTATTTTCTGACCAGCACTAGTAGTAATACCTACTGGAAAAAAAAAAAGGAACAAACAACCTAAAACAAAACAAACAAAAAACCCCAAACCAATCTGTTTGGGGATTTTTTATGAGGAGTTTTGAAGTCCTGTGATAACTGGTAGGTTTGCTGTTAAAATAAGCATGTATACTAGTCAGTCATTTGAAAAATTAAGTAGTCCTTCTCATCTTAGCAAATTGATCAACCTCACTTATATAGCTACTGGTTTGTACATTTCTGGGAGCGTTTTCATTTTGCTAATTTTGATGTAGATGAATCAGGAAATGGGGCAGTTAGTGGAAAAGAAGTGCCGAAATCAAAGTGGAAATGAAAACCCTCTGTTGTCTCTGGCATGTCGCATGCAAGCCGTGCTAATCAAAACAGGTGGATTTTGGGAACTTTGACAGTGGACCTGCCAGCCTGCAAAGGAATATATGTTCCTGTTCATGCTGGCAGAAATGTGATGTCTAATGCTTCCTTCAGTCAGGGCTGTTCACTTCTGTCACTTTAACTTTCAAATGCGGGAATTTAATTGTAAGGGAAAGTCTGGTGAATAGAGACATTAACGAGAATAGATGGGAAAAGACAGGCTGCTGTTTGAGTGCCGCAGTTAGCTGGGAGCAGTTTTAGAAAGTCTGCATCAGGTTTGAATTTGGACAGATGATGGATCATATTTGTGTTACGAGAAACAAAACTTAAAGAAAACAAGACCTGTCAGAGGGAAGGGGTCTCTGCTGGGGTTAGATTTAATTTTTCATTCAGTAAATCCTCCAGAGACTTGGTGCAGGATTTATTTTTGTATCTGTGTGCACTAGGATGGAAAGTGTGGACACGAAGGAAGGTATCTCACTGCAGTGGTGGTAGAAAGACCTGACCCCCTGTTTCCAGAACTTCTGGTGCTGTTAACAGGGTGTTGTGCTCTTTCGTTCTTGAAGTCCTGGAGATAAGACAGCAGGGAACCTTGACAGGATCCTCAGGAGTAACCAAACTTTTGCCCAGGTCGTTCAAGAAAGTCTGAATCACATGAATTATTGGTCTATCCTATTATAAGCTGATTATAAGCATTGTTCATGTTTATGATATTTCAGCTGCTCTGTGCTTCCCCGCTTGTCAGAATTCACAAGCTCTTAGGATATGAAGCACTTTGCGGGTTAATTTGTGGTGGAATGGTTGAAAAGAGTAAGCTGGAAGCTATTTTGCCCAGTAGCTGAGCCACTATATAACTGACAGGTTTGTTGCATGGTGTTCCGGCACCTGCCTTCCAGCACCTTCTTTCCAAATAAAATCAGTGACAGGTATTTCCATCAGAGATGATGAGACTTTTTGCTATTGACTTCAGGGGAACCAAAGCTATTCTAATGCCAATGTTTCTGAGAAATCTCCAGTTTTTAACAGAGCACACATTTTTGCCTGGTCAGGTACGGGGTTATAGGTCTGGGCTACATCTTCTATTGCTAGGCCAGCAGAAATCTTTACTTTTTCTTTGCATTCCACTCAAAACACCTTATTAAACACAGGAACCTTCCCTGACAGATTTGCAGCCTCAGCTCTGAAGAGCTGAGCTTGTTCAAGAGACTTCCAACATGAAACAGGATTAAAAGTTAATTTGAAAGCCATGAGATTTAACAGGCTCTTTTCCATTGTTTGGGTTTGGGTTTGTTTTTTTTTGTGTGTGTGTGTGAGTTTTGTTTCTATTTTTTGTTTTGTTTTCTTTTGGTTTTATTCCCCCCTTTGTCAGAGGTAGGAAGGCTGTGAGAGGGTTGCTCTGTTGCAGCCTGGCATCTGGCCTGCCTGCAAAGACTCCGCATTCCCTGGCTCTTAGAGGAATGCGCATCCCTGGTGGTTCACATAACATTCCCCCTCTTGGGCTGGTATTTCCAACATGGCAAAAAAAAGAAAGACATTTAAACCATTCTTCTCCCTTTCGAGCTGTTTTGCCTCATCCTTTCTGCCCTGGAAGGTTCGCCATCATGTTCACCACTCCTTTATCTCCAGATCTTGTCCCGTGTGAAAACAAAACCTTTCGTGGCACAAGTGACACCTGTCAGTGAGAACTTTGCCTATTCCAGTGTCCTCTGCATGGTGCAGAAGTAGCTGTAGTCATTTGTTGATAGAGGAATATTTTAATAATTACTTTTAAAATCTTCTATGGTTTTAATTCCTGCTACAAGGCATTTTTACCTCTGGAGTTGTTGAATGCCTTATATTTTGTATGTGTTTTGTATGTATTGTGTTTCCAACAGCACAGGTTGGGAATGATTTATAACACAATTAACACTGGAATAAAAGACCATATACAGGAAAAGGCAAAGAACATCTAGCACAAGAGCACTGCTTGAACTGTTTGTCTTCTAACACTGCGTCTCTATAAATACAGAATGGTTAGTCATAATAATGACTTTTTGTTCAAGGAACTCAGTCTAGTAACTGTTGGCAGGATTAAACTGGAGCGAGGGCCCATGTTCTTGCATTATACATTCATAAGCTGAGAACTCTTTCCAATTTCCCTTCACTCCACCTTGCTGTTTCCTGTTTTACAATGATTTTTAAAACATGCCTCAAACACAGATCCTTCTGGGCATTGTGGAAAGAATTGTGATGGGTGGGCTCCTATTTTCACTTTCTCTCCTATTAATGCACGTGCACAATGAGGGAGTTGATGGAGATGGGGAGGCATCTAAGAGAGTTGAATGGAGGGACTGGAGAAAGCAGGCTGCAGTCTTCTCTCAGACTCCTGCAGAGAAGTAGATGTTAGGAAAGATGCAAGCATAAGGCAAGATGAGTATGACCTAGAGACAGAAGGAAGGAAGGAGGCCAGAGGAATTAATTACAAAAAAAAAAAAAAAAAAAAGAAAGGAAAAAAAGGCATCATTATTTTAAAAACAAAAGCTGAAAGGAAGAAGCACGAAACCAGAGGGAAACGGAAAGATGTTTTTTCCAAGAGAGAACTGTTCTTCAAGGTCTCATCTGTGGAGCAGTCACCTCATCTGTGGAGCAGTCATTGCTTCAGCTTTCCTCACTTCGCAAAGACTGCCAGGACCTCCTGCATTCCCTACCTACAAGTCCCCATTCCTACGTTCATGGAGCAAAACTCCTTCCTTCAAAGCATTACCTTTGCACAGATGGGTTTTAGATCATTGTCATTTATACTGCAAGCATACCTAAAACCCACATCCAAGTGTGCAATTATACTGCCCTGCCCTGTGCACAACCTCATTAAGAACAGCCTATGCCTAGATGAGTTTTCAAGCAAAATGAAAGAACCAGATGTGTGTGTGTGTGTGTCTTGGGAGAGGGGAGGGAAATGAAGATACAGGGAAATGAAAGGAGGTGCCCAGGTCTTGTGGCAGGCCCATGGCTGTGCTGGGGTTAGAGCATGGAATTCCTTATTCAATGGTTTACCTACTAAGTCAGGTTGCCTCCTAACAGTGACTTTTCTAGTGACCTCTCTTGGCAT